GAAACCACGTGAAAATTATTTTGCAAATATTCTGTAGTTAAGCCACATATGGATGTGGACATGATACCTTATTCTGTATGTGACCGATTTTAACATTTGTGTCACTCTTGCATTGTAAGATACTGTTCAACTTGATTTTGTTTTGGTGAGTAAAACATAAATAATCCATAATGCATTCACAGTTTCAAGCACTCCAGTGTTTGGACACATGAAACAAATCCTCAAATTTGATGGACGTTAAAATTATGAATGGTGAATTGGTGGGTACATTGATAACACAATAACGAGAATTTTTGAATACCTAGTAATAACAAGCTTACTAAAATAATAACAGTTATTAATAATATAATAATTTATTTATTAGAACTCAAATGATTCAACTATACTAATTGCTAATACTGACGAAAATCAGAGGAAAAAAGGTGGGCAAGTGGGTGTCGCTCTGCTGTACAGTAGGTTACAAGTGGTCACTGTATAATGGATGGTATTAAATTTGAATTCAACGATATATTATCATTGTAGGTATAAGAAAAACGATTCTGAGCGGAGATGGTATGTCAGTCTAGGTATAAAACATATTATATACATATCTATGGTATTAAACAAAAAAATTGACCTATAATAAATTCCAAATTAATCATATCACAATATCCATTAGATACTTATAAGTTATAACGCGTTAAACATCAACAAAAACCGTGATACTATCATAGATATATAATAGTACACTTCAGAAGTTTCAAGTACCCACGAATAATATTATTCAATCACAACAAAATAACTAAAATAGTTATTCTAGGTTTTTTAATATGTAATTTCATCCAAATTTGAATTTAAAATGTCTGTAAAAAATAAGTGTGTTCATATATTTTTTAGATTTTTTGGTTATAGTATGAACTATTTATGAGAGCCTTTGTGTTGAATTTGTAATCCTTAGCTATAAAAACTGAACATTTTATAATTTATTAATTACAATGATTGATAATTTTCAAGATTTTGATAAATTTTGTCAAAATTTGATCTTTAAATGCTTATAAAAAAAAACTGTGCCTATGTATTTTTAATATTTTTCAACTGCTATTGTAACAATATATCAGGAGCCTTGTATTAAATTTTTACACTTTTTGGCCCAACAGATAAAACTTTATTGATATTTATAGAAAAAAAAACTAAAAAAAATTGAAAGCTGTAAATGTCCATAAACAGCTCAAAAAGAGTCAAAATATTTTCAAATTTGTATGGTGTATAAAAAATGCTAATTTAAACATTCAGTGAAATTTTCATGTATCTACAGTTGTTCGTTTTTGAATTGCAACAAAATAAAGAAATCGCTACATGAGTAATCGAGTGAATATCCAATGTTGTAAAAATTTGAATTTCAAACTCTCATAAAAATTTAATTTGACTGTCAGGTAGAGATTTTTTTATTGATAAAGGTAGATAATCTTAGATTTAAAAAGAAAAATTTTTACGAATTCTTAATTTTCGTGATTTTTCCATATTTTGTCAATTTTTGAACTTTAAATGCTTATAAAAAAAAATTGTGACTAAGGATTTTTAATATTTTTCATCTGCCTTTGAAACAATATATTAGGAGCCTTCTATTAAATTTTCAAGCTTTTGCAACCAACAAATAAAATTTTATTGATATTTTTAGAAAAAAAACTAAAAAAAAATGGAAAATGAAAATGTCCCTAAACAGTTCAAAATAAATCAAAATATTTTGAAAATGTTATCGTGTATAGAAAATGCAAATATAAACAACCAGTGAAAATTTCATGTATAATTTCATGTATATATACGTTCATTTGTTTTAGAGTTACACCAATAACCAAAATCGATTTTTTGGAAAACCAATTTTGCGTAAAAATTCCCGTTTTTCCTTAATTTTTATGTTGTTTTTCCCGGCGCTTGTGAAAACTACTGGGAAATTTATACTTTTGATCCCCCAAAGTACCAACTAGATTCATTTTCCTATCAGAAAAGCTACTGATGAAGAAAATCCAAGCACTTTTACTGTCCTAAAACGTGATGACAGACACAAAAAAAAATAAAAAATATAAAAACACACATCATTGTAAAACCAATACATTCATCGCTCCGCTCGGAATCTAAAATAATAAGAGTACCTACTATAACGTTATAAGCCATTTTGATATAATTTAATAGTCATTAATACTAGTAACAGTGATGACTGACGAATGACGATTGTTGATAATTTTGGTATGATAAAGGAAAAAATTATTCATATTTCCAAAAACTAAATAAATTATAGAAAATTAACGGCAATTTGAACCATCAAAATTTTTCTAAAAATCGGGTTTATAAATTGGCTATTTTGAATTTTTCAAATACATTTTTTATTAAATTTTAAGGCTTTAATTTTCAGAATTAAAAAAGTAAACATTTTTTTTTTATATAAAACATGTAGCGCAAGCGTCTACAAATAAAACAAAAAACAAAAAAAAAAAATATCGAATACCAAAAAAGTTATTCCATATGTCAGTACTGTTGAATATGAATTGAAAGTTAAGAGAACAAATAAATCGAATTGCGTATTAAAATTATTACTACCTATTATCTATAGAATATAAATTTGATTAGTATTAACTATTAGTTGCTCTAACTAGTGCGTTGGTACAATATAATATATTAAAATGTATTAATTTTTTTCCCTAATCATCATTAGTTAATATAATATACGTTAATTAGGTACCTATCTACCTATCTATTTAAGTGGCTACTGCTTATCATGGTTTAAGGAGTAATATTCAGGCAATTTACATGACTTGAACATTTGGGCTATTTCTATGTGTGAGTTGTAAATGAAAATTAGTGGGTGCATAGACATAACATCAGAAATCAGAATCCGCTCAGAATCTAAAAACTGTTATTGGTATAATAATAATAATTATGAACATTATTACGTACAGTGTACATAATTATGATAATTATTAATTTTTTTTAACAGGTTAAGACTGAAGTTCTTATAGTATCATCTCTTGAAGCGATTTGAACTATACCATGATACTTTACTTTTTACCCCAAATCTAAGCCATACATTAGATTTTGAAAACTTAAACTTAAATATAAGTTTATTTATTTATATACAATATAATTATAGATGCAATAAATATACCAGATTAAGAAAATATCCAAAATTGTAGCATATTTTGTATTTGTACCATTACAGAATAAGTATGTAGGTACATTGTATAACGAAAATAAACAATTTTCCAAAGAGATGATATAGGTACTTTAGAGAAGACTGCTAAGGCTACAAATCATTATTTATAATTAAACTTTTTATGATCAGCTCTAATAAATTTTACCTAATTAGTTAAGGGTTACTCTCTTAGTCACTTCAAACATAATCGTATTACTTATTAGCAAAATGAAATATTTTTCAGGGTTCAATAGAATACATAGGTACTTAGAATGTTCTTGATTGGCCATTCAGATTTTGCACAGATTAGTTATTTAAATGCTAAAACCAAAACATATTATATTCTATTATCTAGTGCCTAGTGGATAATTTGATTTTAATACAGTAGATTCTCATAAATCAAATATCAAGGAAAACAGGAAAAAATTGGTAAAAAATTTGAGTACTAATTAAAAACTAATGCTACATACTTATCAATGAACTACAATAATGATTAATGAATACATTATTTTTTTTAATAAACTGTCATTTAAGTTTGTTTGTGTTTTCTAACACACGCTCGACATAGTATTTTAGACGTGTTTTTTGTCAAACAAACCAATTAATCTAATGAAGTGATAAGACTTCTAATAACAGATCAGACTGCTTGAAATCGACTTGCCCACATTTTTGATATTATCCCACCAAATTCCTAAAAATGTCATATAAAAAAAAATATTTAAAAATTGTCATATTTCATTTTTGTAGAAGTTAGAATCAAAAATATGGGAAAGTTGACTTCAAGTAGACTTGACGACAAACTCAAATCTGTCTTAAGAATTCTTATTTCTTCATTAGATCAAAAAATTAGTATGTTTGGCAAGAACCCGTCTAATATCCTTTATCGCGGGTGTGTTAGATAAAAACAGAAAATCAAGGTATCAAATCCCCTTAACTAACTATTTATCAGATAAAATCTTTTAAAATATAATATTTGTATTTGTCATGAAGTTTACTTTAAAACGGCTTCCTTACATTCCTTTTTTTTTCAAATTAAATATTATTAACATTTTTAAAAAAAGTGGTTAAGTTTTTTTCAACTTAACTTATTGACAAATTAAAATATATTTTCAGAAAATGTATTCAATTACTGGAACAGTAACAAGGTAGGTACAATTAGCATAAGATAGGTCTACTTTGGTAGAAAATCTAGCTGGTATCAAATCTCTTTAGGTCGAAAAATAAAAATGAAAGCTATTCAAAAGGATTTTTTCTAATATATAGTAGAGCATGGATTTATACACGTCTAAAAATCAGCTAAATATGCACTAAAAATTTAAAATATGTAAAATAATATATTTAAAATATTTTATAATATATTAGGAACATGAATTATATTTTTAACGCCGAGGTGGTCCACCACTACGTCCTCGACTTCCACTGCCGCGAGGTCCTCCACGACCTCCTCGTCCTCTTGGACCTCCACGTCCACGACCTCCTCTTCCCGCTCCTAGAACAACATGACAATAAATAAATAGTCTTACATATATTTTAAAAGTTTATTTTACCTATGAAGTGAGCAATAAGAAATATTAGTTGTTATTTATTATTAAAAACATATTTTTTATGTACTTCAATGGCGATTATTGCACTTTTGACAGTAAAAACATTTATATTACCTCCACGAGTTCCTCGCCCATTACGATTTAACCTTGATTTAGGTGCATCGTCAACTAGCAGTGTTTCAAGGGTTAGTGAATCTGGTAAGATGAAATACCGTATATTGTTACCACGGACGCTAAGTGTATCGTAATGTATTGGCTGATTATTTTTCGTAGTCATTTTAACAGCTTTCAAGTGAGTGTTCATAGCAACATCAACACCTAAAATATAAGATAGTTAATTAGTTTCTGGGAAACATTAAGGTAATATGGTTGTCATTTGGTTTATACTTTATATTAATTATGCTTAAAATGAGTGTACAACTATAAAAATAAAATAGATCATAGGCGTGTCTACGGGTTTTGCCTGTCATGCACAGGCATGACCTGCAAAATTTGATCTAACTTACATTATAAATTGCGGTACATAATAATATACACTTTTTTTCTTAGATTTTAATTTCATATTAAATTTTTTGATTTTCATCATGTGGACTTTTAATACCTATTACAATTATTGAAATTTTTTTTAGGGGGTGGGGGGTGCTGAAACCTACTTCCCCTGAATATGCCACTACTGTGCATGACCTGAGAACAAGGTCTGGACACGCCTATGAAATAGATTAATATATATGAAAGCAATTTAGTTCTGAATATATTGCAGAAACAAAAACTATATTATAATGTTAATATGTTAATTAATAGAAGATAAATTATACAATAAATAAACAATAATATATAATAAATTACATACATTATGTTTAATAACTCAATTCCAATAGAGAAGACACCAGTAATGCATAGTATGAATGGAATTGAGCCTATCGAATTTAGTAGGAAAAATTTTACTGTTAAAAAAACCATTCTATATAAGGTATATCTTAAAATTCATACAATTTCTATACCAAAAAATGTACATGTTTATATTTAACTTTTAAATAGTTATACTAATAATAATTCAATTTTTGAAATTTCTTATCACTACTCATAACTGAAGTTTTCCTTTCTGACAGCTAAACTCATCTTGATTGTTGTTTTGTTTTCTTATTATTAAAATAAAACATTAATAATACATATTTTATTGTAATACTTATACTATTTAACTATGACATTATGTCTAAAAATTAATAAAATTAATTTTCTTAGAAAGACTTTATTACTGGTTAAAAAATATTATATTATACTCATACTTTTTCATTCATATTAATTTATTATAAATAGTAATACTTAAAATCAGTTAATCAGAAAATGGAAAATGGATGTTCAGCAATCTATGTATTTTTGGTTGCCATCTGATGATTTCTCTTTTGGTATAGACAAAAATTCATAAAAGTTCAATTTTTTCGAATTATAGCAATTAAATAAAATATAAAATATAATGTCATTGAATTTTTAAATATTTATTGTTTACCTGTAATGGTCCCATGAACACTTGTACCATTTTTCAGTTCTAATGTCACCGTTTCATGACTTAGTTTCATCAAAAACCTGTTGATGTACATGAAATAATTAGATAAAGAATTGATAATAACTATAATAATAATAATAATAACTATAATAATAACTATAATAACTATCAATTTATTAAAATATCAATAAATTTAAATACATACAAAGTCTCTTATATTTCAGTTAACAAACAATTTAAAATACATACATTTAATCTATTATAATCTACTGAATAAATTTAATAACTGATCAAGATTAGTAATTTTTATAAACGTTTAGCTATAATCATAACGTTTTTTTTTTAAATCTATATAGTTTGTCATTTTATATTAACACTACCATAAGTTTTGATTCACTCAAAAAAGAATTACTTAGTCTTCGCTCTTTAGTTATAATATACAATATAGACTACAATATTTTCTGAGTCTTAGCAACATAGCTACTTTATTTTTTGATATCATTAATAAATATAAATTTCATCAACTTTTAGTCATAAAAATTAAAAATAAAAGATTATTGGTAAAATTCTAAATCAATAATAACTTTATTTTAATGAATGAAAAATAAATTAAAATGCTATGACATAGCAAGTATGGACATTTGTACCGTGAACCAATAATTATGATTATAGGTGGAATGGTTTTTAAAACTTATTTTTTGGGTGGTGGTGCAGCTTTAATAATGAAGTAGAAGGTAGTATGGTCAATATAGGTAAAACAGGAAGTATGTATGATGAATAGTATATTATACAGAATATAGATTAGAGATTTGATAATATATCATTTATAAATAATAAGAAATATAATAGTATTGCAACTAATTGTATGAATTGTTGTATGGCGGGATGCATGGGGTGCTATTCACCCATAGATTTTTTCTTCAAAGATTACAGCTTTGCACTTGAGTTCATCTTTCAAGTTTTTTTTATTCACTAATCAGTAAGAACTAAGAGCATATTATAAGTAATAAAAACTGTGAAATTGGTTAGCATAACACTTGACTAGTAGAGTATACAATTAACAAACCTGACTGGGTACCTGATAGGGAAAAATTTAATTATTACCTATTCAAAACTATTTTACTTACTTGACCAACTTCATAATGATTTTGCTCAGGACTGTGGTAGATTAATATAAACAATGTTGTATTTTATTGAACCAAACTTAAATAACCCACAAGTCACAAAAATGGCGAATTGGAATAGATGCACGGCTGTTGTCTACTTGACTGTAATAAATACAAAAAATAGTGATGTAATATGTTAGTCAGACAGTAAGTTGTATTCAGAAAGCAGAAGCGTTATGAATGTGGAACCCAAAAATTGATATACGGACACGGACGACGGACGTACGATATGACGTTATCAACGAAACCATCGGGGAAACACAATCAACATTTTCGAGGAAGAATTTTTAGCGCATCGATACGTATCGGTTTAGGAACGAGCGTTCGTAAACGTGAACTGCGTTTGTATGTTCCCGTGTCGTTTCGTGCGCGAGATATACGAACGAAACGTATCGACCCGTTTTGGACTCGGGACAACATGCTCTTAATTATTATAATAATGTAATTATGAATTACTATGGTTTTGAATTTTCTTAATTGAGAATTTCGAATCCAAACAACTAAACAAAACGCGTTCAGAGCAATATTATAGTTAATAGACACGTCATGCCCGCAGTTCTGCCTAATTTTCACGGTTCACACCGACAACCGTGGTATCAGTTTTAATCACTCTGTTATCAGTTTGAAATCCAACTCAAATCACGTTTCGCATTTTATCACAGCGAGCTCCCCCGTGAAAAACTAGCAAGTTTCGATATTAATTCTTCGTTTAAAAACTGTTCACGTCATAAATACATTTTATAATTAACAAAATGTTCAAAATACCGGTGTCGGGTATTCTATTGGGCGCGAGCAAAGTGTCCACGAAGATGTTCGTTCCCAGCATCGGTTTACATGTATCGGCGCCGATGAAACTAAAGGAGAGTAAGTACAACCGTGTTATATGGGCAACGCACCATCGGCGTTTGTGTATTTAATGTGTCACTATTGTTTGAACGTCTAGTCCACGCTAATAAGGTTGGCGGCAAGTTGATTATTGAAGGAACTTATGTGCCGTCTCCTAGAAAAGACTACCTCATTCAGAACAACAGCGAATGCTGTTCGTTGTGCAGTCTCGGCTTGGACGTCAAACACACGGTATACTATTATATTATTACTATATTGATGTGTTCAAGTCAATTCTAGATCATTACTTTGTTGTAGGATGTATTGATTCTTAGTCAATTTGTACGAAGTGACGGTTGCATGATGCCACGACGAGTTACTGGCCTTTGTAAAACCCAGCAGAAAAGGATGTCTAAATTGGTGTCTATGGCGCATAAAGCAGGTAATTTCTGTTTAGTTATATTGTAGACTATTTCCCAAATATTTTAAAATACTAAACCATAAAGTTTTATTTTAAATATTATACTTTTTATTTTTGTTTGACATAAACAAGACTTAGTCGTACCTATAGGCTAGTACCTATTGTGTTGATTATTTTCTTTCCTCCTAATATTAACCACCTAGTGTTTGAAAAATTCATTTTAAAACTGGATTTGATCACATCCACGTTCAGTGTATAATAAATAACCTCTTTTAAGAACACTTTCATTATTTTTAAATGGAACTCGTTAACGTTTGTACTCACTGAAACATAAATGTGTTCATGTGATTGTTCATTTAATTATGTATTTAAAAATGAGACAAATAGTTGCTATTTATTACAAAAAACAAAAACAACCAAGTTTATATTCTATTCTAAATAATTCAAACTTTACTTGAAACAATAATGGTTAACATTTCAAAATTGAACTTGGCCCTTTTTTGAATTTTTGGTAGACCATTGATGAGCATTTCCATTCAGAAACTAAATATCAGTGGGTAAAATCTGTAAATATGTCATATGAATATAAATATATGCTGTCTTAGTGAGCTACACAGAATAAGACGTATGTTGGTAGTAACTGGCAGTTGACAATTGTCATTACAAAATACAGGCGATAATGCAATGCCTGTTGTTGCGCGGTTTTTTCATCGGTTCTTACCGCTATACTGTTTCTTGGTGTATTATTAGATTTATCTATAACTACTTCAGAAATTGTCATCAGGCGGGTAGTTCTCTTAAAATATAAGTTGCTCACATTCACACTATATTTATAAGATATGAGTGATGTCCACTAAATATGAACGTGAATGTATTCATTTCAAACACTGGTTTGGCTAAATCATGGAAATAACTTAATTCTTTTCAGTTCTAATATTATATAATATTTTTCATAGTAAATTTATTTTAAGATATCTATGTGATGTATTACCCGGATGTATATAATTATCGTATTTTGTTACATATTATATTTATCCTTAGTCTGAATAATATTACTATACAATGAATACCTAATGTTTAAATAATATTGAAAATATTTGTAGGTTTAATGTGTGATTTGGCTCCAGAAAATAGCAAAAAGGATACCACTAAAAGAAAGTTATGGAAAAAATACAATACATACTATGATGAATCCACTATTAAAGTTTATGAGAGTCATTTCAAAACAATTAAGGATAACATTATACTTGATTACATGAAATCAAGAAATCCAGGAAATTAATTAAGTTGTAATAATCAACAATATTAAAACTTAAGAGTAGGGATAATCTGTACTTTTTTCTTGTTAAAATAAAATATTTATAATTATTTATTATACTGTATTATACTATTTAACTAGGATATTGTGTTAATAATGACTAAAATGCATTTCTTGGAATGACCTTATTTACTGGTTTAAATGTATTATATTATACTCATGCTATTTATATAGTAATATTCAAGGCTGGGCATTAATGAGTTACAAAGTTAAGTTACTTTTAACTAAGTTAAATAACGAGTTACATTTTTTCACGTTATTCAGTAACTTATGAATTAAGAGGACGTGATACCCACATGTGTTGTCTCCGTCTTACAAGTGCATAACACAGCAAATTTTACGCTCAGCAAAACACGTGTATTTAAAAATTAGAGTAAATTATCCTGGATGTAATAAGACAGGGTAATTTAAAAATCGTTAAATTTGGTTTTTTTTTATTCATCTGATACAGTTAGGTTAGGTTAGGATTTTGTGTTAATTGGTTATATTCATTCACCGTAGGTGGAATTAAATAAAAATGACAAACTTGGTATAACTTTGATACTCTAAAGTTAAATCATAAACTTACGTACAAACAGCACGAGGTCCGTGATCTACCACAAGTAGATTGCCTACCTAATAATATAGTGCTGTGGATCTGAATTTTTATTCCTGAAAAGTTAAGATAAGTTTTTAACACCATACACCAGATATTAACCTTCAGTAGGTCGTGCGGGGTATTTTATTACCCCACTAATTTTAAACTATGTTTTAATATTATTTAGTTTGGTATAAATATGGTGGGATTTTATCTAGCTTATATTTATATGTTATATATTATAAAAATAATGTTAATAATTTTTTAATTTGCTTAAAATAATATATCATTTATTTGTCTAATAAGTAAAAAAATAAAACAAATGTTAAACTAAAAGTATTAATTACATTTAGTATTTTATTTTTGTTATATACTCACAAAAATATTAAATTTGAAAAAAATATACATTATGTTTAATCAATGGAAATAAACCCCCCCGCGACGGAATAGGTACTCATAACCCGCTCAACCTACTGAAGGTTAAATAATGAATTGAACAAAGTCAATATAAGAGTCATATGTTTAGTTCATTTAACAGGCATCGAAGTGCACAGGATCAGCTAGCTTATTATAATAGTTATAATGTTATATTCTATAGCCGTGTCAATTAATATAAATATAACTATTTAGTATTTACTCAGTATAATATACACAATTGGATACTCATTAGTCATTACCTAATTATTATTAATATTACTACTTATTATTATGCTTTTATTTATTCATGAAGTTACAGCTATAACCTGGCCCTAGTTACAAATAATGCAAACCCTAGTAGCGTAGTTTATCGTATTTACTATTTATCTAATTAAATAAATACCCGGGACTCGTGTTAATTTTTTTTTTTAAATAAATTGTCCGGGCTGTAATAATCAGAAACAAACTTTGAAATTCTCTTGCAAAGATTGTGCTACGTATATATTTAAATAGCGTACATTAAGTCACAAACAAATAGTCTGTCGACTGTGTTTGGTTGTATTATTTTACTTTTGATATTCATATGATTCACCAAATATACATCACTAGATTCTGTCTACAATTAATATGGTAAAATACAATAATTTTATTGATTAAATATTTTATTCTTACTATTAATTGAATAATATTCAATATTATATAGTATTGTGTAACTAATTAATTATTTTCTAATAATGAATTTGATTAATATAATATTTAGTATAGTTGTGGACCATTACGGCATTACGTAAACAAATACATAAAAATAACTTCATTATTTTGTTGGATTTCTTATTGATTAAAAGTATAAAAGTGTCCTACAGTAATTAATTTTATACATCTATTTAAAAACTGTAAGACATTTATTGAATTACTAATATATTTGTTATATATTTTGGCTTATTCATGCACTAGTGGAATTTTCAGATCTGAGTGAATAGTGTTTACTATCTCACCTCAATCCGCTTGCTAGAAATCTCGAAACTCCAACAATCCCCGGTAACCCTCCAAAAAGGTTAAAACATAAATGGTGCCGTGATTTGCTTGTCGTATAAATAAGAAAATATATATAATATGTCTGTAATAGGTAATTACTTCAAAATGAAAGTGTCACTAGGGTGGCTGCTCTCCTCAAATTATTCACTGTTATAAATAATCGTCTGTATCATATTTACTTATTGTGCAAAATTGTGCAGATTTTAAATTTTCTTATAAAAATAAAAAAAAACTAATATATTTGTTATGTAGCTTTAAAAAAAAATTTGGCATAATTAATAATTTTATAAGAAAAAAAAATGAATATGATTTTTAACTTAGTTGAGTTATTTTTATTTTCTAACTAATTCTTAACTTGTACAATTAAAAAAAAATTATGGTAACTTTAACCTTAACTTACATTTTTCCATATTAACTTAACTTAACGAGTTAAAAAAAATAGTTAACTATCCCAGCCTTGGTAATAGTTAAAATCAGCTTATTATTTAAACCATGGTACATCTATGTTTAATTAATGCAACTTGAAATTTATTTATTACTATTGTTAAATCAAACTGAGAATACACTGACATGTCTCTTTGAGCATTCGTAAATTGAGTTTTTTAAAATTTAATCAGAGGAATGAATAGTAATCGGGTTGTATGTTTAATAAATTTACCAATTGTTAGTGGTGGTCTTAATTATATTATTAAAATTATATTTTGGATATTTAGGTAGTTTCTATTTACTTTATTACTTAATCATTCCACGGTATCTAATTATACAAATTTGGTGTTAGTTTCTACTCATACTGTATCAATTTACAAAGGTTGCATTTTAAATACCTAACCTAACCATGTTATACCTGCTTAATTTAATTTGTTTCAATGAACTTAATAATATTTGTGGTATTAGTTTAATAATTGTGCTTTGAGGTAGAAGAATGAATCTCAAGTTGACCTATCATGAATTTAGTAAGACTAAGTAAATTATATTTTATTCACATTAAAACAGAACCTCGGTGGTAAACAGTTTTCATAAATATTTTCCTTGCCAAGCACTTTTAAATTATTCACCACTGATAGGCCAAGCGTTTTTTTTTTTGGAATTTTCATTATTGGAATTTTTTATTCTGTTTAATGAATTCCCTGAATTAATGAATATCAGTAAAAAAAAAACTAATTAGTGGTAAGTATTTTTTAATTGACCAGCCAGGGTTTCTCAACATTTATTGTTACCCCGGTAATTAATAATGCAAAAATTAAGTATTTATAAAAACAAATAAAATACATGTATCATAATATAAAAATTACATGTAATTACACCTAAGTATTATACTACAGTCTATAATAAAATATAAAAAAATAGAAGTCAAAATGCTTTTGTGTGGTATATATCAAAACAAGGTACTGCGCATAAGCCCACATCACATTCTGTACACATGAATCTAGTGTCAGTTTGCTTATTATTCTTCTTGCATACTTGGCATTTTCTTCTGGCACACCTTCCAGATTGTGTTGCTGGAACTTGTAAAGGAAAATGCCTATCAATTAGTTTTGACGGTTGGTCCTTAGTTGGTGGTCTTGATTTTGCTTCACGAGCGGTTTGATACTTTTCTATTATTTGTCTTATTAGTTCTATATTCTGAAACTGAGATTTTGGTATATGGTTCCATTAACTGTTTTCTATGAGGAGTAAGCATTTAACAATGATAAATCTATCAAATGGAAAAACATTTTTTTGTACCATTTCATTGTTTTTCTTAGACACTCCAGTACTCCACACTACTTAGTAACATATCAGTTTTATCCACAGATCGCATATTTTTGTTGTATTCTGTAACACATTTAGATTTTATTGTTATTTCACCATGTTTTTAAATAGGTAATTGTTCATCTTCATGTATCATGGTAAGCATATGCACCTCTCTCCGGTCCATCCATTTTATTGTTAACATTTTTCCAGTATTTTACTTTCAGTTTCACCTGGCTGAAATTTAGTTTTTTTTGAATGGTGGCATTCCACGACGATTGAATCTTACAGTTCCACAAGTATTGGTTTTTTTTTTATGCAAGTACATTGATAGTATTGGTGATGTATACCAGTTGTCAGTTTATAGAGTATGCCCTTTATTCAAATATTTTTTCATCAATGTTTTTACAACAGCACCTGATTGGCCTAAGTTGGCATCATACGAAACAAGAAGTGTAGTTTTTCCAGTATATATTATAAAACCTAAAAAAAGTCTGTTTTTACATCACACAAAATAAAAAATTTGATTCCAAACCGACGACGTTTAGTTCTTATGAATTTCTTGAATGAATGTCTTCCTTTCCATAGAGCGCCAAACTCTCATCTATGACAAGATTTTGAAACGGCACCATAGCAGATCTGAAAAACTGGTGAACCTTAGGTTGAAATGGTGTACCAGATTTCCATTTAAAATTTGGAGCAAATAGACCTTTGTTAATTTTTCGAGGTACAATTTGTTCGAGGTTCGAGGTCAATTTTTGGTTTATGTGTTGGAATTTAAACTTCTTCGCTAACAGGTTGTTCAGTACCTGACACAGTTTTATACTCAGCATCATTTTGATGGAATACAGTGTATTTGTGAACATCACCTTGCGTACAGTACCACACTTCCAATGTCTTGTTTAGAAGCTATTTCTTCTTCATCAGATTCATCAAAACTTACCGTAAGACACATATAGTGTAAATAAATAAATTGCATATTATATATGAACACGGTATACCTTGAACGATATGTTATCATGAACACTTTTGTTTAGTAATTATTCATAATGGTATTATACAAAATAATACAACACATAAGTAGAACACACAAATAATGAAATACATATGGGTATATATACGTATTTTATATAATACCTACTATGGCTATTTAATAATAATAATAATAATTACCGAAAACATCAGTTATGAATTCGTCGTCCGACCCATTAACTATAATTTCATCTAAGCTCACCCATATACTTTCGTCGTTTATAATATGTGACATGATGGTAGTAGGTAGAATAAGACAGAACAAAAATTACAAAAATGATAGGCTTGAGCAGACTTGTCCGCAAGGGGGGGGGGGCTTTAAATATATGTCTGAACCAAAGATTTTTGCACTAATGACTACCGTAAAAGGTGGTGACTTCGGACATGTTTTTTTAGTTATCTTATAATTTTAGAATACAAGTTTAATATAATAGTTGAAAACCGATACTCTACGTTTATTTATTATAACCTCCATAGAAAATAATATTTATTGATGACATACCTAATGGTGTCATAGTACACGTTATGGAGGTAAATACAAAATATTATATTTTTGTGTTTATAAATTAAAGAACTACATTGAATACTGTAGCTCAACAACAACATACACTGTACAATTTTGAAAATATTTTGACTCTTTTTGAGCTGTTTACCAACATTTTCAGATTTCCATTTTTTTAGTTTTTTTTTCTATAAATATCAATAAAGTTTTATCTGTTGGGCCAAAAATTTAATACAAGGGTTCTGCTATATTGTTACAATAGCAATTGAAAAATATTAAAAATACATAGGCACAATTTTTTTTTATAAGCATTTAAAGATCGAATTTTGACAAAATTTATCAAAATCTCGAAAATTATCAATCATTGTAATTAATAAATTATAAAATGTTCAGTTTTTGTAGCTAAGGATTGCAAATTTAAAACAAAGGTTCTCAAAAAAGTTCAAACTGTAACCAAAAAATCTAAAAAATATATGAACACAGTTATTTTTTACAGACATTTTAAATTCAAATTTGGACGAAATTACATATTAAAAAACCTTGAATAACTATATTTTAGTTATTTTGTTGTGATTGAACTATATTATTCATGGGTAGGTACTTGAATTTCTAAAGTGTACTATTATATATCTATGATAGTATCACGATTTTTGTTGATCTATAACGCGTTATAAGTACCTAATGGATATTGTAATATGATTAATTTGGAATTTATTATAGGTACCTACCTATTATAGGTCAATTTTTTTGTTTAATACCATAGATATGTATATAATATGTTTTATACCTAGACTGACATACCATCTCCGCTCAGAATCGTTTTTCTTATACCTACAATGATAATATATCGTTGAATTCAAATTTAATATCAACCATTATACAATGACCCACTTGTAACCTACTGTATAGCAGAGCGACACCCACTTGCCCACCTTTTTTAATTTTTTTAAAATTTTTTTTTCGTGTCTGTCATATTGGGACAGTAAAACTACTTGGATTTTCTTCAACGGTGGCTTTTTTGATAGGAAAGTGTATCTAGTTGGTACTTTGGGTGGTCAAAAGTGAAAATTTCCCAGTAGTTTTCAAAAGCGGCGTGAAAAATTTTATAAGCATTTAAAGTTCAAAAATTGACAAAATATGTAAAAATCACGAAAATTAGCAAATTATTTTGAGTTAAGAATTCGTAAAAATTTTTTTTTTAAATCTAAGGTTTCAAAATTTAATACAAGATTCCTTATAAGATTATCTACCTTTATCAAAAAAAATGTCTAAGAAAGTCAAATTAAATTTTTACAACATTGAATATTCACTCGATTTCTCATGTAGCAATTTCCTTTTTTTGTTGTAATTCAAAAACGAATAACTTTAGATACATGAAAATTTCACTGAAAGTTTATATTAGCATTTCCTATTTACCATACAATTTTGAAAATATTTTAACTCTTTTTGAGTTGTTTACGGACATTTTCAGTTTCCAATTTTTTTAGTTTCTTATTCTATTAATATCAATAAAGTTTTATCTGTTGGTTTAAAAAGTGTAAAAATGTAATACAAGGCTCCTGATATATTGTTACAATATCAGTTGAAAAATATTAAAAATACATAGGCACAATTTTTTTTTATAAGCATTTAATGTTCAAATGTTGACAAAATTTATCAAATTTAAAATTTAATAATTATTTAGTCGTTAAACATGTATAAAATGTTCAACTTTTATAGCTAAGGATTGAAAATTTAAAACAAGGTTCCAAGTAAATAGATGATACATAATTTATTCACAATAATATCATCAAATATACTTAGTAATATCATAGGCTGCTGGCTGACTGACCGTTTTCACTCAGAATCGTTTTTCTTATATAGGTACAATGATATTATTCTACCATCTGCTGTATATACTGTACAGCAGACCGACATCCACTTACCCACTTTTTTATAATGAAAACAATACAAATTTAATTTGTAAAAGATTTTTTATTGCCAGGGTGGGCCTTTTAGAAATACTGACATACGCCACTGGTATAACCTATTTATACAATTATACCTTATTATAATTTACACTTTATAGTGTATTAATATTTAAGTATAGTAAAATTAATAACTATAACAATAATTAATAAGAATACAAATATATTATACCATAATATATTATGATTGCTAATATAGGCTGACAGCTGGTCGTGCCCGCTTAGAATAATTTTTCGTGTGGTATGATCTATTATTGAATTCAAACGTAATTACTAATTACGTAACACATACGTTACAGTGTCGTACTCAATGAAAAGGTGCCTGCACAACTCGACTCTTACGGTACAATGGCAGAGCGGTTACCTATTTTCCCATTTTTTTTAGTTTTCTAATTTGTTGTTTAAAAAAATAAATTTATGTTTTTTATTGAGTGATTTAATAGTTTGAAAAACTTTAAACGTTGTATTCCGTCGCAAGATGAACATTTTTCTGTTTACCTGCAATGCTTCAGAAATAAAAACAATTGACGAAAAATCATTTAGAACTAATTTATAAAATAATATTTAAGGGCGAATTTCGAAATACGTTTGAGACCAATAAGAGGTGGTAAATTACACATACTTCGAAATGTCCGATTTTAATTTTTTATACATGTACAAAATACATGTCGATTTTCAATTTTAAATGACCTTAAACTTAAGATTTTTTTCAAAAATTCCGTGAAATAATTGCCTTACATTTGAATTTATTTAGGGCAAGTCTGATTTTACATCAAAAAAGTTATTCCTAAAGAGCATAGTCTGGAAGATTCAAAATGTTTTTCAAAATTACAATCGGACTTCGAGTATGTTAATTTATTACCTATCACTTATTGTAGTTATGCAAACAAGAATATTTTCGTTTTTGAGATTTATTGACATATTTTGTGTGCGCGTGCGAGAATTGCAACCGGCTATGGTTTGAATGATGCGGGATTACAACGATTCTCGGATCTAATGTTCGTTTACTATAATAGTCACACGTAGCCTAGTCCAAATGTTCATGTCGTGTGTATTGCCTAAATATTACTCCTTAAAACATGATACGCTGGAGCACACTGGGCCTCGCTACGTTCATTATTTAAGGGGCAACATTTAGGCAATTTCTTAAACATGTATAGAATGTTCAACTTTTATAGCTAAGGATTGAAAACTGAAAAAAAGATTCCATGTAAATAGGTTATACATAAATTATTTTATTCACCTTAGTAGTATTTTTTGCACTGTATCAGGTTCCAATCAATAACTGCACTCATTCACTCCCCCTTTTTTTTTTCTTTTGCTATGTAACCATTGGACCACACTGCCCACATTATACATATAGAAATAATATGAAGGATGCAAACAAGTGTTCAGAATTTAAACACATTTTTTATTGAGCACCGTACAAAAAAGTCCAAAACTAGGCAGCTAATAATGTATTTACTTTTCTGTAGATCATATCATTCAGTGGCGTAAATTGGGTCCAATTTCTGGTGGTGCAGAGGCATATTATTAACCTATAATTTCCAACACAAAAATAATCCAACTTTCTAAGTAAAATCCTTCCTAACAAAAAAAAACTATATATTTATCCATACATTTTGTCAACATTTGAACTTCAAATGCTTATAAAAAAAATTGTGGCTATGTATTTTTAATATTTTTCAACGCTATTGTAACAATATATCAGGAGCCTTCCATTAAATTTTCACGCTTTTTACCCAACAAATAAAATTTTATTGATATTTATAGAAAAAAAAACTAAAAAAATTAAAAAATGACAATGTCCGGAAACAGCTCAAAGAGAGTTAAAGTATTTTCAAAACTTTGTGGTGTATAGAAAATTAAAATATAAATATATAAATTTTCATGTATTTACAGTTATTTGTTTGAATAACAACAAATTAACAAAATCGCTACATGAGAAATCTAGTGAATATAGAATCTTGTAAAAATATGATTTTCAAATGCTCATAAAAATTTAATTTGATTTACTTGTGGACATTTTTTTTTTTTGATAAAGGCGTATACAAACTTATGAATAATCTTGTATTACATTTTAAAATCTTAGATTTGAAAAGAAACATTTTTATGATTTTTTCAACTCAAATTATATTGTTAATTTTCGTGATTTTTCTGTATTTTGTCAAGATTTGAACTTTAAATGCTTATAAAAAAAACTGTGACTAAGGATTTTTAATAATTTTCTAATGTCATTGTAACAATATAGTTGGAGCCTTTTATTAAATTTCCAAGCTTTTTTACCCAACCAGTGAATATTTCAATTATATATTATGTAAATGTTCATTTGTTTGGTCAAAAACCAAAATCGATTTTGTCGAAAACCGATTTCGGGTAAAAATTCCTGTTTTTCCTTAATTTTTATGTTGTTTTTCCTGGCGCTTATGAAACCTGAAGAGAATTTTAAAATTTGATTCAATACGACGTCTAGCTATCATCTGACATTTGACTTTTGAGAATTGAATGAACATTGATCCAGTGATAACACACTATTTTGGCGGTAGAATGTTGATAGCAATATAATTTTACCATATTATACCACAGAACAATTATACGTCTATTCTGTGCACGATTAAAGATATAATATCTTTAATCGTGATTCTGTGATACTGCCATAATAAAATACAAAATTCTGTGGATAGTGGTTACCATAGATAATAATCTAACTATTTATGGGGGTTGTACGATATTTTAGAATATAGATAGGCCAGATAGGCCATAGGGTAATAATTTAAATGATAATGTCTAATACATGCACTAAAATAACTATTTTGTACCTCTTTATATATTATATATTTCAATGATTTTCTGGTGGTGCAAAAACATACCTTTGCACCACCACATTTTAGATGTGGTGGTGCAAGTGCTGCATTTGCACCACCCAGTTTACGCCACTGATATCATTATTAGTGAATTAAAGTTTTAAGACCACGAACGTGGTTTAATATATAACAAAAGTAATATATGACAACACTTCTTGAAGATATGACACTATTACTGATTTAGGACTCAAATCTTAAAAATAAACACAATATACTAGTTATTGTGCTTCTAGAGAAAGTATTGAAATTAATTGAACGGTATCACACACATTTATTTTTAATTACAATAGTCAATAATAACATTTATTTTGTAGTTTGATTTTAACCCTTAAATGGTAGTGTATTATTGTTTACGAGCTAAGAAAAAAAAATAAAGCCTTGCCAGTTAAATAGGGCAGTTAATATGTTCATGAGATTCGATTCGATTACATTGTTCTTTACAGTTCTGCTATCCGTCACATCCAAATTGCAGTAGTTGGGTCTCTAAAACAATGTCGATACATTGTGTCGCCCAAATATTGGTCATGTAAGAATCTGGCATTGGTTATTGTGATGTATTGATATCTACTTGATAGGTAATAATAATAATAAAATGCTAATAATAATAATGATAATAATAGTAATAGTAATATGATATTAATTATAATAGCTATAGTAATATAATAAGAATAAAATAATTATAGTAATATTCCTTAAATCTATTGATATTGATATTTCAATAATAATATTGAATTTAATTAATAAGCGTTATTTCAAACGTTTCAAATGATTTTAATAGTAGTATTACATTATAAAAATTGTTTTCATAAAAAAAGTCTTGGTAGTTAAACTTATAAAATCACAAATAAATAAAAATCACACATAAATAGTAGTAAGATAATTAGGTACAATAATTATAATAATAAAACGTGTAGTCTTTGGTTACAATAATAAAAACATTGGATATAGGGTTTACAATTATTACGAGGGTTCAATGGTTTATTTATTTATTAACAAATAATAAATAAATCAGTTTATAAAATAAATGGAAATACCTATTGTTAAAGATAATATTCAACCACTGCACTTTATGTAAGGTTGTTGTTTTTTTTTTAAAATTTAAAAGTTAGGTATAAGAAAACTGAAACAAAAAAATACACATTTTTAATTAAATTATAATTGTATATATAACTACATTTTAATAACACATTTGTTATAAAATTAATTGTATATGTATTGATTTGTAGTATAACAACTCATAAGGTTCATTTTTTCAACTTGTACATAATTTTGTATTTTATTGATTTAGTAAACAATTATTAACACGTTCACTGCGTACTGACGCCAATTCCCTACGCGTGGCTGAATGTTATTTTATTATTATTTAGCGTGGATTAAACGCTTGTTTTTAAATATGTATACATACATCGTTATGAGCAGTTTCTTTATATTTTTTTTTTAATTCCTTTTGTTTTTACTTTTATCATACGCACTGGGGGAAAACTGCAAAAAGACATATGCAGTCAACGTGTTAATATATTATTTAATGATGTCGGAAAACAGAGTATATTATATTGTATGATACATGTGTTGGGCCAAATGTCGTATAAGAAAACTAAAGAACATTTGAACATGGCATGCATAAGATGGATACAACATTCAAAGTGAATTGTACATCGAGAGCAAACTATAAGCTCAGTTTAATTAGGTATAACATATAATTTATTATAAAAATGAATACATTTCATCTTCAAGTATAAAGAGTATATGGTCCAGTTTAAGTTCATTAATCAAAGGCACAACTGTTCTAAACATTGGGTCTGGGCAATTAGAAGTTAAAAATTATTGTTTTAAAAATTTTTTACTTAGCTACAATAAAAGTTAAAAAAAATAATTTTAACTGATAATATTTTTGAATCTAGACAGATCTGTAGAATAATTGATTCATTATAATAATATATAAAACTTATATAGGTTATAATATATTATATTATATAGGTACTTTTAAATGGGATTCCAAACAGACTGATTTCCATGCTAAAAATACCTATTTTCATTCCAACTTAAGATTTTTAGTATGGAAAACAGTCTGTTTGGAATCCCTTTAATCAGTAGCTATCAAATATAGTATACATAACACACCTTTTATAAGGAGATCTGAAAGACACTTAAATTTCCTGCATGGATAATGGTACTATGTGTATAGTAAATGATAATCACTTATTAGTATAAGTAAAAGTGTGTTTATAAGAATGGATTTGTTGTCGATCGCACGCGCCCACGCACGCACACACATGCGAGTCACATATTATTTCACTGCTAAGCCAATCAATTGTTATTCCATCGACCTATTCATTGATTTGATTTTGATATTGAAAACAGATTTAAATATTTAATATGTTTATTTGGATCCTACGAATAACATATTTTATTTATTTATTTGAATTGTTCATAACTGTTAAATATACAAAACTCCTCTGTAGGTAAAACATTTTTTAAATTTGAATGTTACTTAAAATATTGATAAGTATATATAGAAATTTGATTAAAAGTTTTTAGTAGAATATAAAGAAGATAAAATGAGGAATCCAAACTTATATTCATATGAATTATATATTGCGTAGTTAGATTGATGGAACATAGACCTATAAAATAGTTTATAGACCTATTGATCTATTATCCATTATAGATTGATTCATACTGATCAATCTACCTAACTACGCAATATTTCATATGAACATAAGTTTGAATTCCTCGTCTTATCTTCTATAGGTTGGTATGATGGAATGAAAATTGATTGATTTAGGAGTGAAATAATATGTGACATGCGAAATTGTTGACATGTGTGTTTGTGTGTGTGCGATCTAGAACAAGTCTCCTTCTTTTAACTATACTTTTACTTACACTAATAAGCAGGGCTCGGAAGGTGAAGCACTAAAAATTTTACTTTTTAGCTCTTAAATATGCACTTAAAAATTCCAAAATATGCGCTATAAATAGCACAAAAATATGCATTTAACATGAAAATATTAAAATTAGAAAAAAATTAAATTAAATTTTACATTTCTATAAAACTGTTGAGCTCATAGACGTCAGAGACTGTCTAGTTGAATTATAAAACTGTTAACAAATATATTAAATTACTTAAATATGTTTGTAAAAGTGTACTTATAAGGTCTATTAAGGTCTTTTTATAATTTCCTAACCAAGTTAATCATTATTTTCAACATAATGTGATAATTTTCTATATTTTGTATAATCTTTAGGTATATATTATGTATATTATGAAAATATACCCATAAATAGCGCTATAATCCCAAAATGAGCAAAGTAGCAATAAAAACGGTAAATATGCAAAAAAAATAGCAAGAGAAAATGTTGTGTATGACTTCAGAGAAGTGTGATACATATTTGTATCTTACTTTGGATGTTCTAAGGCGAACCAAGAAAAATATGCATTTGCTAGAACTTCCGAGAACTGCTAATAAGTAATGATCATTTACTATGCACATAGTACCATCCACATGCAGGAAATCTTATTGCCTTTACAGAACTGCTTATACGAGGTACGTTTTTAAACATATTTTATGATATAAATGAAAAATTAGAAATAAATCTAATGTTATACGACTAGAATAACTAAATCCTAACCAAATCAGTATATGCAATATCAATTAGTAATTGACAATTACAATTTGAATAATAGAATTAAAGTAAATAATGTATTATGTTTATTGCTATTACCAATTTACAAGTTACAAAAAACCATTATTTATTAAGTACCTTGCTATAAATAATATACCTTACAGTCTTTATTTAGTGTATGTATGTGGTATTGCAAACTAGGGGAGGGACTATTTGAGTTTTATTTTTCTCCCGGTTTACTCAAACCTTAACTGGCTCGACTGGTTAAGCCATATAAGTTTGTATATTGAGCGTAACAGTAAGGTAATTACCGGAGTTTTAGATCATTGTGGCAATTTAAAGTCCATGATTTAAGTGCGGCAGACTTGCTGGTTGATAATCCAACGAGTAAACTGCAACTGGAAAATGTTTGATGTGCGTTTGCCACTGTGACGACAACTGGAAAAACTTCACACCACTCCATTCATATCCATCAATAGTTACTGGAAATTTAAACGTAAAATAAATACCATTAACAAGTAAACAACTTGTAAGAGCGAGTTACTTGTGAGTGGAAAATGTTGAGTTTTTGGTGAGCAGATTAATCTTAAAACACTGTCGATTACTTGATTCTTGGGATCTAAGTCTTTTTCTTTTTCTTTCTTTTTTCCCAATCGCATAACTAAATTTACATAAACAATTGTAGTAGAAAAGGTATGGTAGACGTAATATTAGATTTAACATTTTATTTATCATACATGAAGTCAAATTTAAAAAATATAAGTCTAATTCACAAAAATAGTTTCTGACGGCCCAAATATAAAGGAAATTTTAAATTTTAAAATGTGTGATATAAAAAAAGTTATTAAATCAAACGATTCCTTAAGGCTTAAATGCTTAAAAGGTACAGTTACATAATTTTGTCAATAAAATTAGTATTGAATGAACATTATTATTGCTGTGTGTATTAATAATTTGCTTACTTTTTTGTTTTTTCTCCTTAATATAGCTCACAGTAAAAAATGCTAGTGGTTCTTCATTGGTCAAAAACAGTCTTGAGATATGTAAACTCTTAAAACCAGTCTTTAATGTGAATTTGGTATCCACTCGCTTACTGCTTGGTTCATTGCCTCGAGTAGTGACTTCTTTGTTGGTGTTTGGCACCAACCAATAATCGAGTTGTAATTCTAGGGGCTCGCATAACTCCCTGTTGAGGACAAAATGATTAGATTACAAAAATATTTAAGGTTTATCAAGTATTTACCAATTGACTTGCTTTGTGGGTGGAGGCAAGTATTGCATACCAATATTGGGTGAATTGGGTGGTGTAGTCTTGTCTAAGATTGACTTACGATCAATGATGATTGAACATTGATCGTCAGTATCATTTGAACCCGATGCCGTATCCCCAGAGCAAATTCTCACATCCTATACAATGATACGGTTGTAATAAGTTTACAAGGCAAATACAAATTTAATAAAATAAGATCAAAAATTATTTTTATTTAAAAGAAAATATGTGAATACAAAACCAACTTCATTATTTGAAGTACAAAATATATGAATAAAATATAATCAGATAAACTCTATTCTGCGAGTTAACACACAGATTCTGTACATGCGCTGCTATTGAAACTGGTCCAACTATGGCAGGGTGTTGCGTGGAGACGCGTAAAATAACCAATTTGGTCGGACCACTGTGCGTTCTCTCATTGAACCGAGTATGTATAAGTATATTTTTAATAATACATTTTTTTTTTAATTACAATAAAAACAATTAATTATTGTTTTTATTTATATAAAGTACTTTAAATATAATTTAAATAATTATTAGTCAACTTTAAGACTAGGATACTACATTAATTATCTCAAATTTTCAAAAACAATTTAAATATAAACTTACATTGACAAATGGTATGAATGTTTGTAAGGCTTCATCATCAGAACTGTAAAAGCAAATATGTATAATATATAGGTATAGTTTGTCGTTTGAGTCAAATTTTCATAAATATTAGTAAACCTTTTTTCTTTATATGATAGCATTGCTTCAGCAATCTGCAATTGAATTGTATTAGATGCTTCCATGATGTAATTTTGGATTTTGACTATTATATCCGTTCCATCACCACACTCCAATTGTTCCTTCCAGTAGTCTTCTTTGAACAGAAATGTTGTACCATAATAGCTGTCGACTGTACCCAAGTATCTTGAGAGAGTGTTAATTCCTGCATATCATAATTTTGTCAAAATTATATACATATACAAACTTAATTACTATTCATGTGTATTACCTAATGGTATAATATAAAATTTTATATAATTCATCCAGTCGGGTGGCTTGAATGATAACTGTTCTACATACTGTCGTAATACATAGTTTACAAAGCTATCAGAACCAGCAAGCAATATCTTCATTTGACTTGGGGGTTTGGGGTTGGAATTACAGCTAAAATAATAATAATAATAATAAAACAAATAATATTATATATTATTATTATTAATATTATTGGTAGACACAAGATTCAACAAGATGTCACAAGATATGTAGTATACAACAAAATGTTAGATAGGGTTCTTAGGAATTATTATTTTGCATATTAGAGCAGTAGCGTATCTAGGATTTTTTCAAGGGGGGGGGGGATATAACATTTTTAATAGACATTCAGTATAAACATATTATATTCATATTATTATATACATTATACATGATATATTGTGTACAAATTTGGTCTCAGGGGGGATATGATTCCATTGTATTCGAGTGTTAGACTTACTATTTTTGTATCTTGTTAATAATGCACACAAAAGTAGCACGCACGTCCGCTAATCCAGCTGGTGTGATGACTTTGAATTGGTAGTTCTGCAGTTTGGATGCGAGCTGACAACCCAATGGATCCGCATAGTGTATTAAACATAATACTTCAGGCATTTTATCTTCGGGTGGTAACACTTTAGACAGCTGTTCCATCAATGCCTTTCTAGGCTGTTCACATAAAAACATAAATTTAGTAAATTAAGCATACATACAATATATTATGACACAAAGGTTTCATTTAATATTAAGCTTAAATCAAGTATATATACTATAATTATGGTTGGTTGGGATTTTAAGGAGAACAATTTATTTGAGAATACAATTTGGAATAATTAATTAATTAATGTATTGTGGCTCTTGCTGGAAGTAATTATTTGGGGAAATTTGTTAAGCATTGATATTTTTTTATAGAATAAACAAGTTCCATGACATTATTGCTTTCCTGCCTGACAATGATGTTTTATTGAACCTTGACAATTGAACATTATAAAATATAAATTTAACACAATAATGTTGTTTGAATATGAATTTCTCTTAGGAGTTTAGTCTTCTTAACTATTATTTGAAATAAAATTTTAAATGTATCTAATTTTATTTTCAAGTATCTGATGATTGATAAAGATTAGAAACTAGTGTTATATAATTGTAATTGTCTTCTTCAATCGAAACTTAATAATTACAATATTATATACTCTGGGTCACGATAGAATGCACCAAAACTAGTCTTTTTTCGAGCATCTCCACCATTTTACCGGCCAGATCGCCACGGTTTCGGCGGCAGGTGTGTACCATATACTAGTGGCCACATGAAGCAGGAGATTTGGCCTTTAGACGACGGAGCGCCGTCATTTGGATGCGCGTGCAGGGTGCATTCTCTCGTGGCCCAGAGTATAGTAAATATTTCCGTGATATATTTATTAGTAATTTATTGTTATCATATAATAAGAAGATTGGACCTCGAAATGGTAATTTGCATTTAGTAAGCCACTAAAAACGTCTATGTGGGTTGTTTAGTTAAATGTCTAGACAAATAGTAAATTTGTATTAAAATTTAAACCTGAACCATTTGATTAAATATATGAAGGCAGTAACATACCTCAACCATGGAGACTAGATTTTCTCCTGAACCTCCAGTACCGGTCCCTACGTTTGTACGATCATTGTCATTTGTCAGCTTTGGCATTGGAGACTTCTTGTACTTGTTCGACGACGAAGTGCGGTCCCTCGTGAATATTCTCGATTTCTTTTCTTTTTCCTTTTCTTTTTCCACAGCGCCGGAAGTTTCCTTTAAAACACCGTGTCCACCATTAGCATTAAAATGTACCAATAATCAGTTCTCAAGTATACAATATATAAAACCTTTTTATCGTCATTGTTGCCCACTTTTGGAGGTGACGAATTCATCGGAGTAGGGTCACTATCCGTCCAGGTGTCCAAATAAGAATCGGAATCTGCCTTTTTCGAACTTTCGTCACTAAATCTTTCAATGTTACGTTCTACGGTGGGCACACCTATATCATTAAATAAATATATATACATATAGGTATAATTATATGTATATTTTCTTTTTTGAGAATCTGTTTGATCTAATACATATTGGTTTTGTAAGCATATAATATATCTTCCCCAGCCAATATTTCTTTATTAATTTGACAAATTGTTAGCTAAATCATGATAAAAATTAATTAAGCGTGAAGAAAATTGAACATGCAAAATTAAAATAACTATAGCAGTTATATCTTTATAAAGATTTCAAACAATATCAATAAAATATGGGTTTTGTTAAAACTTAAAAACTATGTTAAGTTAAATAATACTAAAAAATAATTTTTATTACTCAGTAGTTCGTATCATACTCTCGTCTTTAAGAGTAGAAACAGGTATAATTAAAAATCCACTGGTTGTATTTTAATTACAAAAACGATTATTAAAATATATAATATAACGAATATGGATTCATTATTTTTATAGTATCATCACTGTATCAGTATAGAATTATCTTAAACGTTAGAATATTAACAGATGGGCATGTGTTACCTAGAATCATTGGGATGTAGGGAAAATCACTTCAAAAATCAAGACTATAGTCCATAAGGCAAGTAGGTAGACTTAAAATTGGGCTCCTAAATGGCTAAATACATTGTATAATGTAAGTTTGGCAGGGCCTCGCCATTTCCAACCCGTCTCACATAAACACTGATAATTGAGGCACTGCATGTTATAAATTTGACTATTTTACCACAATAATAAACGGTTGTTTTACCCTTTTATCATCGAATAAATATAAAAGTATAATAAAACCTTAACTCAAATAGGTACCTATAAAGTATTATATAAGGCGGATTAACATTAACATTCTATCATATCAAATCACCTAAAAAATACACAACTGTGAACTAGGTGTAAGTACAGTGTAAGTACTAAAGTACGCCTTTTTTCAGCGGAATTATGAACAATTTTATTAGATTACATTTTTAATACGTAAAAATGAGTTTCCTTTTTTCTTTAGAAAGGTTAATTGTTTTCTTGTAATAATAATATAGATACACATAATATAAATATATTATTGTGCAACTCCGAGTCAATAATACAATAACTATTATTTTTGAAACGGAATAAATATTTTATCAGCAACAAAGACGACGGCCGATTGCAGCATGACAGTTGAAATTCAAAAACCTAATTTCGTATTTTTGGGGGGTGTGAAATTTTGAAGTCGGGGACAGTGGGGCGCCCCGACGGCTTCCCTCTTCCAAGCTATGCGTGATATTGTTATGAAATTCTATGGCCGCGAAAGTTTGTCTCCCGCAGCAGCCGCACTTGTGCGTTTGACACTCGTTAATTAAAAAAATTGTTTTTATTTTTTATTATCGGAATTCGTTTTCACAATAACGCTGCGTTAATTTATTGTGCCATTCAAATTTACCATACAGACGAAGTGTGAAATAAACGCGCTTATTACACGACTACAATATGTGCGTGATTTAATTAGAATTTATTGTTCGTGCGTAGAGTTTATATTATTATTATAATTATTATTATTATTATTATTATTATCGCGCCGACAAACTGTTCTAAGAAAAACACTATAGACCGAATCCCGCACCATTGCAAGGTCCGGGTAATATTGTTTCCGTTTGTATGCGTTCGATTGTGAACATTCATTCATTATTCAATTAATACGTTCGTTAACGATTTTCAATGTCGTGAATTAAAATCGCGTTCCTAGAAAAGTCGAAATAGCATTAATGCACCAACGACTAACAGGTTCAAAGACGATGGTTTTTAGTGAAAAAAAAATTTCAAAACTCTATTGGATAGGTATTATATGGTTTCTTAAATGTACCAAATTAATAAACGAACGATCAACAACAGTTTATTGGAAATTTTAAAATTATGAATATGTGGCGAAAAAACCTAAAATACACTCATCCACAGGTCACGCGCATCGTTTACCGGGGATCACTATTCAGGGACAGAATTTCGCTTTATTTCCAATAAATTTGGGTCGTTGGTGTTGGTTGTAGATGTCGAACTTCTCCAGCCATCGGGATACCCCGATAGCTCCAGTTTCACAAACCGACTGTGTCGAAAATAATAAAAACACGTGTAGGCTTGACCAAAATGTGTTTAATTTTATTGAGAAATGTCGTAATTTGTTCAGCACTGATGCAAGACGATTATTATTATTGAAGGATACGTATAGCGACTAGCGAGTAGAAATTTAGAATAAAGCCTGGACGGGTAAAGCGGAAGATAACATTAAGAATTAAATAAAGTATTACAAACATGTGCCGGGGGCAATGATGAATGGAACTGAATATCTGATGGTGTATTAGAGAGAAAAACATCATTGAGATGGTTTGGGCGTATATAAAGAATTCAGCATTTCAGCAACGAGAGAAGTGGACCGACCAGAAGGGCATAACGATTAAGGGATAATAGGGATATATGAAGTCATGCGGACATAGTTGATTTATGTATGTATGTAATGTATTATAGTAGATATAGTGAGACAGCAGTGCCTAGAGCTTTGTAAAGGGCGAGGCCTCGTATATAATTAAGAAAAAACAATGGATTTTTTGCCAACATTTTTGTCAATATACTTATAGATTTGTGTAATTTTAATATTGCACCAAATGTAGAATGTCATAGAATATATTATATTATTATATAATATCGTACTTATGATTTATGAAAAATATGGTTTGATAAATCGAAAAGTCCAAATGTACTTTTGTAACTGGATTTCATAAATAAAATATAATAAAAATACATAAAGTAGTTTTTGTAATTGAAATTAGTCCAGATTGGATAAGGGGTAATGGGACCATAGAATGGATAAGTCAATAGAATTTATAACGCAAGAATGAACAGTTTGATATTTTGAGGTTTCAAAGGGTCTTATCAATTATATAACAAATACAATTAATGATAAAACCCCTTGGTAGAGTGAGAGCACCATATAACTGCAGTCTGTTTCTTATCCATATTTCGGACCGCAAACTCTTATTTGTTTAGTATCAGAATGTCCTGTCCATTCTTATATTATCCATGGTATTCATAATGAAAACGAACTATATAGCAAGACTAAAAATGTACGTACTACAAATTACAACACAAACACAAAATCAATACTGTAAATAATTGAAATAATAATAATAATTATTATTAAAAACTGTTAGGTAAACAAATATTTACAAATTACAATTTATGGTTAGGCTATAAATAATATTATCCATATATAATAGTACTTTAAAATACAATGACATTTTTTAACATCCAATTTTATCCATATTTTATTATTCCAGTCAATTACGTTTAAAAAGTAATTTAATTTTTTTCAATTTGTATTGTTGTTGTGATTTTTTTTTAACATTTTCTTCTAAAAATATATTTGAATGAACCCCTATTAATGATCCAATAGTTAATTATAGGTTTATAACTTATGAGCATTTCAAGTTTGATTGAGCGGGGCAAAGTACAGGGATACAGAAGTACAGAATACATCCCTCAAAATTTTGATAGGCGTAACTATGCTCATTAAAACTATAAAATACTTAAAAAATATATGAAATTGTATGTCCATAATTCAATATTAACAGAACAGAAATGTAATAAAAATATTCTATTTCAAAATAAAAGTTTTAGATAAGAAAAAAATGCCGAAATCACCAAGATAAAAAAACATTAGGCTCATAAAATAATTGTACTTACTTCATAATAAAACACAATAATTGACTGAGTTTATGAGTGTTGATAATTATTATATACATTTTTTTTTTATCATGCACATGCAATGTAGTTGTTAATACTAATTACTAATAATAATAAATATGTACAAATTTAAAAAATAAAATAACAATAGGTACATATTTATTTTACTATATAATAATTTTTTTAATGTGTAAATTACTAGGTATTTAAAATGGGAATTTCATTGTTAAAATGTTGTCTTAAGAGAATAATATAGAAATTGTTAGTAATATTAAGTGCATTGGATATAAAGAAAATACAACAAAAGAAGATACTTTGTGCTTATAACTGCATTTTGATCGGGAATTTTCATAGTGCTAACCTTTGGTTCTGTTGTAGGGCGGAAAACTTGTGGTATGACTTTTCTTATGGGAATGCCGTCCTAGTGACAGGGTGAAAAAATATAAAAATAGTTTAAGTGAATATTACTTTTTAAACAATATTCAGATAAAAAGCATTATTATGTTACAATAGATACAATATAAATAAATTAGAATAATTATTAGTGATGGACACAACCAAATGCATAACTTTTTGCATTATTTTAACTTATTTTTTATGGGTTTATATTTTTCTTCTAAACCAAGTTATTTGTTTCAGTTTTAAATAGTCCAATTAATTCCACTGTAATAAAAATTAACATTCATCAGAAATATTTGTTTTGATGTTGAGATTATTAAAACACGCCCAAGCTAATATTGTAATTGAATTATGTAATTAGAATATTTTCATGTCATAACTTGTAAGATATAATTTTATTGTTACAAAGTGGTTCCAGCTGTGAATGCCAAGTTAAAGAAAACTATGAATATGAAAAGTAAGACTGGTCCATCACTATTATATATTTATAAAAAACAATATAATATATTATAATATCAACCCATCAACGGAACTGTATTAACATATTAAATCTAATGTACATTTTATAAAAAAATAATACAAGTAATAGCAATAAATAATAAAACAACAAAAACAACAACTATATAAGTATGAAGTATTATATATAGTATAACATATATAAATATATATATTAATATTATATATAATATTAAGATTAAAAAAAAATGTAATACCAGTGTATTTCCTAAATTTGTGAAGTTCAAAAATGTGTAAAAGTAAATAGTGTAAAGAGTACGTTTTTCTAAACTACAACAATTTGTGTTTTTGTTATACCTTAGCGCACAAAGAGCTGAAAGCTTGTTATATAAGGCAACATTTGTAATATAAGTTGTTTTCGTAGTCACTAACGATAAACAAGCGCAAATCATTCAAATTGTTGGCAAAGCATACCGCTAGAGCTTCTCGTCAAAATTTTGCGGTCATATGAAATGTTTTATTAATTGTAAATTAAATGAATATTTATATTATATGGCACATCAACACACTTCAATAATTATTAAACAATTCAATATATAAAAATATTAGATACAATGACACAGTGCTGTTTTATTAGCACATTGTCATTAGTAAAATATGCAAATATACATCGAGTTCATAGCGAACAAACAGAAGAATCATTCACATGCTAATTTTTCAGAATAAGAATTAAATATTATAAACACATGGTTAATTCGGCAGATCCAAATTTTCATCATGTTTTGTTAAAATATTTAATTGGTTATCTACAAAAACCAATTTTCAAGCCATATCATTTAAAACGTCGTTTAATTCTCAGAAATCTCTCATCTAATGATGTTTAATTCAAATCTTAGAAGGAGCCAAAAGGCATTAGTTGAAAATATTAGATGAATACTTTATGACTTAAGTACCTCAAAACTCGATGTTTTGCATTCAATGTTTCTATTTATCAACATATTTAATGCCTTCTTTTTATAAACAAAATTGTTATATGATTTTAAGTAAAAAAAACTTCAAGTATAATGGATGTTATCAAGATAATATGTATGAATATCAAATAATAATTTTAATATTTGAAAAACATACTTTATATTATTATATAAGGACAATTTAACTGTTTTAAATCTTTGTGTTACATCAATTGCAAAAATATTTACTTTTTAATTGTGGTTTACTATGTTATTATACACAACTATAAATAACAAATTTTATATCATTGAGTGTCTATACATATTATAACAAGAAACACAAACCTTCAATATGATACATATTAAATAGCTTAGTTATATTATGTAGGCACACAAAATAAAATATCACTCATGAACTTGACTATTATTTATTTTGGGCCATCCTCATGTGAATAGTAAAGAGATTTATATGATTAATAAAATAAAAAGACTTGAATAATACAAAAAAAATATTCTTTTCTTATATTTAAAAATACAATTTATTTCTGTTAATTTAAAAAAATGAGTGAATTATTACTTTAAAATAAAAAATATTATATTGTGAAATGTATATGTATATATAACAGGTAAAATGGATACACCGTGTTTTGAGATACTCTTTGGTTTTAATTTATATTACAAACCTGAGATGCCTTCGTGTATCATATTTGTACGAGAGCTTGAAAAGAATGGACGAAGTGATGGTTTTGGTGTAGATAAAATAGATAATGTATCCAAGTCAGGCCCAGAGTCGCTTAAATCTTCCAGTTCTTCAAAAAGATCTTCAATATCTGCTGGGTCCATATCACCGCCTATAACAACAGTAATGTACATGCATTGAATTAACACAAATATATTATTATTAACACATTTTTTTAAAATTTATTTATTAAATATAATACCTGAAAGTTTTTGACTTATGGTCTCCCTATCGTTTTCTAATGAATGCAAATCTTCATTAACTCTGAACCTTTTCAGAAGTGCAATAAATTTTTGTTTGAGATTTCTTTGCTGTTAATAAATTAGAACCAAATTGTATTAAATTGTTATATTATAATTAATTATTAAAATCACGATTACAAAAAACTATAACAATTTAATTTACTCTTGCATTTCCAGTTGTGATATTTTTCTTGCGTCGTCTATCTTCCAAAGTTGGTTCAGAATCGGATGCTTCTTCCCCGCTGCTGAACTCTTCGTCTTCATCTGAATAATCTGGACCCCTTCCTACAAAATTTAAAATAGTTCATTAAATATTAATACCTACCTGCACATTTATCAAACCGAATAATTTTTTTATTTAATTAATTACCTGTAACAGGTTTTGTAGCATCTTCGTGATCCACAGGTTGACTATTTAAGCACATGATATAAACACGGCCGATAAGAGACTTGGGATCTTTAGGATCGCTTAAAAGTTCTAGTTCGAGATCAAGAGGTCTTTGTAGTACCTATATAAAAATAGTACGTTTGAAATGTATACAAGTCTATATTTTATTAGTTGATATAATTACAAGTGACATATTAATAACTCCTTCGGCCAATGTTTTAAAACCAAGTATAGTTCGGTTTTTGTACTTCTTTCGACGTTGAAGCATTACGTGTAATTTGTTAACGTCTCGTTTCAAAAAGTGCGGATACTGCGGAACAAATACATATTAAGACTCGTAGTGATTCCTAATATTGTATTAGTACCTAACAACAGCAATTAAATTAAATACCTGAAGACAGAAGTTCAACTGCAATTCTATTTCGAGAGATCCATTTACGGTCAGGGGAAGTTCATTTGTTCGTAAGGTTCTCTTTGATCCCTTGATTTTATACAATTAGATTCAATACAATTAATATTGATTGAGTTATGCAGTCTTAATTAAAATAACTGATTAAATTTATGATACGTACTTGCATTTTTACAGCTATAGTTAACGAAGATGACATATCCGATCCCAGTGGTTTGGTTAGTACCAGTTTTGTTAAATTCATTGAACATACTCTAAAACATAAATAAATTGTTGCGTAAATGTTTGATTAAAATAATTGTATACAGTAGGTACCTAGTATACCCTTAAGTTTTTGTATACATTAAAAAACTATAAGTTAATTAATTAAACAAAAACGAAAAGTTGTTTGAGTGACATAGGTACATTATACATATTATGGAGTAATGCATTTATATTTTTGGATATAAATAAACAATAATTGTTAACATATGAATTACTTCCTTCAATTTCAATATAATAAACATTATACATTCTTAGTTGAACAAATGTCTATTCTTATAAATAGTTTTAGAGTAGGGTTGGAGTGTACAACATAATATTATAGCTGCTACCATACTAAACAAAAATCTATTGGCTAAAATATAAATAATGAATTGCATCTAAAAATACGAGTAAATTGAAAATATATAAATCATATAACTATCTTAAATAATATTTCAAAATATATCTCTCTCTTATATTATGTTATTCTCATTGACTAACATACTATATTATATAAATAAATAAGCACGTGCCACGTGCGTTCATTATTGATAAATTATAAAATTGACTAGAACCTACGTAACGAAATACATTTTTTTATTATTTAATGGTAAATATTTAAAGTCAATTATTATCTATTTTCAATGACGATAGATAATAATATGTGAAATCATAGATTTAGAATAGGATATCGGTTTGACGGTGTGGATAATATATAATATAAAAATACATAATAAGAGTAATAACTTATTACTAACTAGATATGGAATAACTAATAAGACACACGATTTAGATAACAACTCATTAATCAACAAAGAATTAAATTTTTTTTTCAATACCTACCAATATGTTTTAAATTTTGAAACTCGAATTTTTTCTGCAAAAGTATACTGTGCAATTACTATAATACTCTAACACCTAATAAGCCCCCAGGCGTCTATAATAAATAAATAAATAATTAATACAATGTTATCTGACTTTGTAGTATAAAAAACAAGACAATGGAAAACAATACTTCAAATTACATGTGAATAATGTTTTATTGTATTAAATACTTAGGATTTATGTAATAATAAAATCATCGTTCATCGTCAATAAACGAACTAAAATAGAAGTCCAGTCAACCTGTCATTATGAATAATGACAGATATGGAAATATTATATTGTACCGTCTAAACGTGAAATAAGTGACTAATTTTGTAAATAATGACTTGGGTGTTATTAGTAAGGATAAATCAATAAAAAAAAATAATGAAATTTAATGTTTCACTCGTGGAAATAATATTATTTTAATTTTTACAGAATAATTGTTTAATAAACAATTTAATTGCATATGACAATTATTGGTTTAAAATAAGTCCCACAGTATACGTTAATGATATGTCCATTAAATAATTTATTATACTAAACATATTCGTTTTAACTTGTGGACGCCATACTCGCATGGGTTGTCTCCGTTACAAACTTAAACAATTAACGACTACTGAACATTTTTTTTTATTGTCACATTTTGCGTTTAGAATAATCTATTTAACTCTGTTGCATTTAATATTGGAGTTAATTGAGTCATTATCAAATTTAAACCTAAGAATAGGTATTATCTGAGACTCTTATATCTAGGGAATCTCATTTTACAATTTTAAAATGCACACGATTGTCGATTACTTGTTAATATTAAAAATAACGTAGTCAAATGGATTATTAATCTGATCAAAAATTGGTATGTTCTGTGTTTATTATACGGATACAAAAAATGCGAGTATGACGTCCTCTTAAGTTAATTAATAAGTACGAATGTAATCTTTTGAAGTGTGCACAGTATGAATGTTATGCTATTTCATAGGTAATATATAAATGGATCGACCATTTGATCTTATCGTATTAGGAGGATTAAGTGGATGTATAAGTATTATGTAATAGTACTTGCAAGAAAGAGAAGACACAGATAATATAATATTATATTGTAGGATGACCTTTAATAATCAGTCTGTCTTACCCAATCATAATCGCGATCCTATACAGTAGACAGTATATTTTGTATAATTCATTTTTTATAATCTATCAATATTCGACATACTTAATTATAAAAGGTAAAATGAGTTCAAGTAGACAAAACTATTCTCAAACCAATATTAAAGTACGTCTAGAAGGGGGGAGGGAGGAGAGGTAAATACCATAAAATAATTTATAACATCACGAAAATCTATTATATTTTCTTGATTGTATCATTAACTAAAATGCCTGCTTAAATGTAAACATACTTTGTTTTATCATCAACCAAATTATTCAAACGATCAGAAATGAACGAGAATCTCAAAGATTGTATTAAGGTAATTTTAATTAAAAAGAATGATAAATAAATGTATTATGCACATTCAAAACAATTTTTAAACGCCGTAAATTATGCTAAGAATCGTAATATATTATCGTGAGAAGTGAAAATAAAAAATATAATAAACACATTTAACTAATACACATACGGTTAGCATAACTTATAAAGCCCATTTAAATCAAAACAATAAAGCAATTATATGGATAGTTAAAAAGGTAATTAATTCAATGCCACTGCCCAAAAAATGGTTATTGTTTTAGATTTATATAAATTGTTTTTTGAATATTATCTAAGACTTATTGTTAAGTAACTTAACCAAGTGTATGAACTGTGTTTAGATAGTACTTGTCTTGAGTATTCTATTAAAGTGGATTCATTAAATTTATAAAGTGTATTTCTAGCTCCAAGATATTTTACGTTGGGCAATAATGTCAACGATCATCACGGCTGAAAAGTTGAGGAAAAAGAACATTTCAACTGTATCTGGTAATTGGATCACGAATCTCGATTTTATTGAAACAAAATTAAAATAGGGAGAAATCCCCCCCACCGTGCAAGCACAAAACTTTTACACTAGAGCCCTAACCATTCAAATAATAATATTACTTATTTCTGAAGCCCGGACTTAACAATTTGAAATATATACCTATTGCAATAACACACAGAAAAAAATAATATAAAAATACAATGTAGGTACAACTATATTATAGCGTACAATGAAAGTTTAATAAATAAAATTAACAATTGCTAAACACGTGTAAAATGTATTTAACATTTAACATTTTTTATCAATAACACATATTATATCAATAGTCATTAACATTTTATAATTAACTACGTACTGATAGTAATTATTGTTTTAAAATTCAACATTAGCTGCAATTCTTAATGACCTACAGCATCCACTCAATTTATCTTTAAAAAAAATTGTTATTACTATTATTCAAACACTTAATAATATAAAATTCCACATTAATGACGCATTTTATTGTTTGTTAAAATAAAAATTTACAATTCATAAATTATTAGCTAGGATTCTTTTAAGGTTAAACACTTTATTTCGAAAGTTTTTTAAAATATTTTTTTACAAAATTTAAAGTCAAATAACAAAAAAAAAGAGTGGGCTCAACCGCTCTGGTGTTTATTAGGTGTCACGTGGGTCATTGTAATGGATGTGCTAAATATGAATTCAATGGTATAACATCATTGTATAAGAAATACGGTTACGGTTCTGAACAAAGACGATCTCTGTTAGCTAATATAGGGATGTAGACTGTAGACCGTTTGGGCGAATTGATCAAAAATGTGATCTGTTTATAAATTAATTTATATATTGTATAGACGTATAGTAATGTAAATTGTCAGTTGAAAAATAAAGTCCCATACAAAATACATAATAAATAATAAATACCTAATGCATTCTTATCTTTAAAAAGATATTGGTAGAGTAATATTGTAATATATACAGTCAACATTAATACAAATTTTGAAATTGATAAAACAAAATCATATAATATACTATATACATAATGGAAATAATTAATAATGACAATTTTAAAAAAACGTTCACATCAAAGTCACCAGGTGTTTCTTACACGGCTAAAAATAATTTCACTAGCCCAAATAAATATACTTTCAAAATTATTACCTTCACCCGAACGACCACGGCTCATATTTAGAATATTTTATGATATTGCTATTTTTTTTTTCCATTTTGAATCGACCGCAGAGGAGGGTCTGTATATGACAATACTAGGTACTCTCTATGATATTACTATTAAAGAAATTTATTTTACAGCAGGTTGAATTCATTTTTGCCGAAAAAATTGCACTTGAAAAGTTAATGCGAGTAAAATATTTAAAAATATAGGTACTTTAGAAGTTTCAAGTACCCACGAATAGTATTTTCAAATCGAAACAAAATTATTAAAATTGTTATTCTTTGTTTAAATACGTATCTAATTTCGTTCAAATTGGAATTTAAAATGCCTAATAAAAAAACTTTATATATTTTAAATTTTTGGTTACAGTATTATATTATACTATTGTGAGAATCCTTGTTTCAAACGTTCTTTGACCAAGCTAAATTGCTTTTATCGATAATTATTGGAAAAAAAACATTGAACATTTAAAATGTCTATAAATAGCTCAAAAAGATTCCTAGTATCTTGAAAATAAAATGATGAAATAAACATTTGGTAAAAATTGCAAGTATTTATAAGGTTGTTTGTTTTTGAATTACAACGGAATAATTAAATCGTTCGATGAGAAATAGGATAAAATATCCAATGCAGTAAAAATTTGAACTGAAATAATCTGATAAGTACACTTTTTTTTTTATTAAAGGTACAGAGTAATTTATGTTTCTCTTCTATTCAATTTTAAAATAGTAGATATAAAAATTTTTTTTCTTAATTTTGAACATACAATTGCTTTGTTTAAAATATAAAATGATATATTTCTACTATTTTTTCATCGTTATACATTTTTAAGTTTTTCTTTTATGAAAGACAGCATACATATTCAATTTTAATGCTTCAAAACATATAACATTTTTCTGAAAATTCAAATACCACTATAAAAATCAAATTAAAGTTCAGATAAGCAGAGTGGAGTGGTACAATGGTATGTAAGTGGTATAATAGCGTGTTGGTCCATTACTCTGCTATTATACATTTT